AATGTGATCAAGGTTATGCATAAATGTTACATATGGGTATTGTAGCAGTTGCCATGGTTGTTCTATTTCTGTGAAGGATGGCAAAATAACTTATCCGGTTTTCATAGTGCCAGGGACACAAAAAATGTTAATGACTGGATGTGGGGTGTGTGCTGGGGAGGACACACACACACACATGCGCACACACAAAACGTGGTTAATCGTGAGCTGTGTGTCAGCTGGCATTTTCTATTCTAGAGGGAAATGAAATGTGACAGACATTACTGCGGCACACACTCTGAATAGGAAAGTAGCTCCTGCTGCTGCACTCAAGGTTACACAGCACTCATAACACAGGGGGAAGAATAAATGGTTGACAGATGGACGGACAGACACACAGGCAGACGGACGGGGTTTTTTTTACATCAAAAAATGACTGACAATGTACGTCACGTAACCACACAAGCAGCTCAGACTGCTAATAAGTGGATTTCCTCCTATTGCATGAGAAAAATGAAAGGGGGTTTTTACAAAGGGTGACTGTCTGCTCTAACTACGTGCTTTGAACTCCAACATGCAACAGAGGTGGGCTGAGAAAAGTCTCTCGGCCCGGGAACCTACATGTGCAGGTTATTTAAAGAGGAGATGCCCAAGTTCACACGGCTGAACAATCTGAACACCTTGACATGAAAGTCTATGTTTCTATAGATGACACAGAATCATATAGTCTCCAAACACAAAATTATCAAAGCATAAACAAACACAAATTAATATGCAGTGATGGATGGCACTGGGAAGGGCTCATTTGAAAAAGCTTTATTTAGGATAGAGACAAACATTAAGGGATATTTGAGTCAAAACTTTATTTTCATCACTGACCAAATGTATTATCCCCAGGGGATAAATAAAATGAATTCATAAAATGAATAAATAAAAAAAATAATATGACGGTATCTGCAATATTCTGTAAATGACACAAATCGTCTGACCACATCATTAGGGAACCCTCATGAATCGAGGTGATTCACTGTATTAAGTTTCATATGGTTATTAATTTTCATACTGGATGGATAGTCTGAGATAGAGACACCCACCCTAAGTGTGATTATTGATCACCCTCCTTGAAACCCATCAGACTTTTAACCTGAATTTTCAGATTTTTAATCATTAGTTTTTGCGTGTGAGAATTATTTTTAGCCGGTGTTTTTTGTATCCATGTCGACGACCCTTCTGATTCTTTTGCAAAAGACCTGATGATGATCTTATGATCTTTTTCATCCAAGGAACATCCAGTTAAAACTTCAGTGAACACAATCTTCTTGTGAAACTGTTTTATTTTTCAGACCCAAACTAATTCAGGACAACTCAGATCAAACACAGAATATGGCTTTCTTGCAACAGTAACATTGGTGGCTTTCGATGTTTGTGTGAATGTGTCTGCTTTATATGAAAAGGGACTTCACATCTGAGCTCTGCTTTGATGGAAAATGAGCTCTACAGGGACCACAGACTCCAGAGACAAGCGACGCCTGACTCACTTCTGAGAGCTCTGTGGCACCGTGGAACAAGCGTGTCCCAATGGTGGGACATCACGAAGGACAGCCTACTGTGGAATGCATGTGTGTGTGTGTGTTTGTGTGTGTGTGTGTTTGCGAAGCAGAGGAAATTAAGTGAAGACTCAACCCAAGAAATAATCCTGTTCGACTTTGAAGCCCAAACTTGAGTACCGCTCTGTTTTCTCACAGAACAGCCTAACTTTAAATCTCTGCTGCCTTAAATAAATTGAAGAGGATTAAATTTATTGCTCAGGTCTTTACTGGCGGTCTTAAAAACAGTTCAACTCATCACTCATAAAGATGGTGAGAAACATATGTAACTGCATGATAATAAACAGAATTAATCTTGGAAAGATGAGAAGAACTCATGTATAACTAAACACAAAGCATTGCTGCCTGTTATTCCACGAGAACATGTTTTTCTTTTTATCAAAGCACATGAAAGATTCTGATGCATTCACACATTTTCATTTTTGATCCAGAAGTCTGACAGTGGAGATGTCAGAGCCACAAAATCATCATCTCTTCAAACAACAGAATTAATTGATTGAGCCACGAGTTCATCCAAAAATACCCCTGTGGAAACGATAAGATTACATTTGTGAGTGATGAGAACAAAAGACGACAGCAGAGTAAATCAATTAAAGTCTGTGATGATGCTGTTTGAGGAAGATTTCAGTGGAGAGACATTTTCTGTTTTTCTGCCAACAAAAATAAATCAGTGCCTTTCTATTTCTCTCCCTCAGAGCTGAAGCAGAAAGTTGGAGTCTTAAATTATTTATTATTTCATTTTTTTAACAGAGTTATTTGAAAAGCAATAGTGAAGATAAAAAAAAAAAACATGTCGTGAATTTTTTTAAAACATAATTCAAAAGAGATTTCCTTCAAGAGAAATATGCAATTTTTTCATGCAAGTGGACTGATAATGATTAAAAATAAATGTCAGTTTTACATGTCGAGAAAAACCTTGAGGACACAAACAAGCCTTCCCAGCATCAAAAACAGGCGGCTGTCATTTTAAACTGATATGACAGGATGTCTGCCAGACTGGAGAGGCTCCATATTCAGGCCAGAACACAATGATCTGTGCAGCATCACCATCATTTTCATTATGAATCAAATAGGTTTGAATGCGCCGTAAGAAGAAGTTGGGTTTAAAAAGTGATCAATTCCCTTCCTATCTAACTATCCCTACATATTGCATGAATCCTTCATGTTAGTACTTAAAAGGTAGGGTTGGTAACTTTCAAAAACTAGCATGATTTTGAAAGTAGCATTCCCTCAGTGCTCCGTCAAAAGACACGCCCATCATTTACATGCACAAGCGCCGTTGGTCCAGAAGCAGACCTCAGCTCATGCTGTGAGTGCGAGCAGGGAGACAGGGAGGCCTGATTGGTTCATCAGATTGGTACCTTGTGGCTAGTGTTAATTGCTACAGGTGACAGATTGTCTTTGTTCCTTTTTCAGAGCTCACACGTTATTAATTTCTGTCAGGACCTAAAGACAATTTCAACCAAAATATTTAAAAGTGGATCTGGAGAAAATGCCCAACCCTATCTTTAAAGTCCTGATCATGTTTCAAGGGGAAAAAACTGACTTATTCCTCTTAGTGAGACTCTCCTACAGTCCACTTCTCTCTTCCTCCTCCTCCTTCTCCTTCTCATTTCTGTCTTGTAAAGCTCTGATAGATGTCTGACCATGACAGCCTGTAGTGTAGATCTGAGGCTCTGCAGCAGAAACCTTTTAACTGTATTAAACTGTCACAGCTCCATTCTTCATGCAGCTCACAGACATCCAGGGCTTTACCACGGTGCTTACAGGACTAAATTATCTTCCTTTTGTGGTTTAGCTCTTCTTACTTTATTTTGATATGTTTTCTTTTTCTTTTTTTTAAACTGATGCCATTACTAATTTTGCTGACAAATGTAATATGCATGGATAATATGAATTCATCTTATATAGAGACTTAGAGCACTTCATCCAGCAGACTGAAATACCGTACGATGATCAAGCAGCAACCTCTAGTGTTGAAAAAGGAAGCCAATGCGAAAGTGCAAAATCCTGCAGTTATTCTATAGTGTCCACTTGAGTGCAAAAATTACACCTGATCACATCTGATCTTTTCTACCAATTAAGTGTGTTTCTGATGTGCAACTACAATGCTTCTTTCACTGTTAAATACTTCCAACAATTTTATAGTTGCATGGGGAATGCACCCAGAATATATCTGCCCAAGTATACCTTCTAAAAGGAGCACTGTAAAATGTCAAATGCACTTGCAATGTTCAACCAGGAAGTCCCCTCTCCACATGTAGCACATGTGTGACCTCATGATTGGTAGAGGAGAATATCAAACTCTTCCCATGAACAAATGTCTGAAGTTAGTTTAAACTCTTCAACAATACAGACGCGTTTTGTAATAAAATATAAATATTATGTATGACCTGTCTGCTCACTCAGATTGCTTCTGTAACATCTGGTATTTCCATTTAGCATGATATTAAATTATATTCAGGCCTTCACCACTTACAATGAATCTAAATGCAATGTTTATTTTAAACTTGAGAGCACTAAATGTCAACACAAGAAAACAACAACACATGTACCGTTTCCCAAAGAAAATATGTTTTACAATTATCGGCAGTGTTTCAGAATGAGGCGGGCCGAGGCTGGGTTACAATCAACATGAACATGTCAGAAACAAGCTTCAGTCTTCTACAATGAGACGACTCTCCCACAAGCGGCACCACAAACACAGAACATTCTCAAACGGGTGGCCAGATGGGGCCACTGAAACTCTTTGGGTGGCACATCAAAACTAAAATCTATAACTGAATTTACACTAGGATAGGATGTGGCCCCCCCTGACCCTCCTTGATGGTGCCATTGTCTCCCACTTCAGACTTCTCTGCACTCACACAGCAGCCTGTTCTGCATGAGCTACACTGTTGTGAAGAATTAAATCTGCTGCTTATCCAACATTTAACACACACACACACACACACACACACACACACACACACACACACACACACACACACACACACACACACACACACACACACACACACACACACACACACACACACACACACACACACACACACACACACACACACACACACACACACACACACACACACACACACACACACACACACACACCTTTTGGTTTAGGTTGTAGTAAGTATTGAGTCCAATCTCTGCTGCTGTCCATTCATATAGTGATGTTATCGAAGCAATCAGCAACTAGACAAACTCAACACAGTGCACAGTATTCTGAGGTTAAAATGATTCAGATAAAGGAAACAAACTTTTTTTTTCCATCAACATGATTCACAGCAGCACTAAGAAAAGTCAGGGTGACAACTTGTGTAGTTTTATCTGTATTTCAAGGTTCAGGATGGAGACAATCTGTCACAGTTCTGAATGTTTAGACAAAGGTAAAGGGAAAACAAAGCTCACTTGTTCAGGTGTCCAACAATCCATAAATGCCCAGCAAAAATTCCAACAGAAAAAAACAACAGGTAAAACACAAGGACAAGGTCCAGGACATATCCATAGACAAAGCACGACTGGAGTTCAAATGAACAAACCAGAACTGAACGAACACAGAGACTAAATAGACAAGGGCTAATCAAAACCAGGTGTGGCAGACACAACACAGGTAAAAGTGATGAGGTGCAATCAAACTGGAGTGAAAACACACAAGGGCAGGAAGTCAAATTATACTAGGAAAGAACTACAAAATAAAACAGGAAACACTAAAAGTTAGACTTGGCAATAAAATGAAAATAAACATATGGACAACATGAAACACTGAAAACTGGATTGTGGAATGGCTATTATCAGTTCACACAAAGGAAGAGAGAAAAACAAGGGAAGGATAGACAAAATAAAGGAGACAGGAAACACAAAGAAAAATATACAACAAATGTAGAGCCAGCGTAAATCAAATAACTTTATTTATTCCTTAGGTTCAGTTGTGTGACAAAAATGACCAATTGAGGTCAAAATGTTTTGTCCATTTAAACAAAGTAGAAGCACTGCTCATCAACAGGCCTGGCAGGCAACTGCTTAGTGCCCCAGACCAGTAGGGGGCCCTTGAGTGCTGACAAAGTTTTAGCCACAGCAGTGGCTCAAAATCTGAAAATTGTACAAAGACAGTAGGAAACCTCCCTAAGGGGGCCCCATCTGACAGCACTAACACTCTTGCAGCCCTGCTGAGCGTCACATGCATTAACCAAAGTTTGTCAATGAAAGTCAACAGAGAGAAATTAAGAGGAATTATCTGTCTATAGGAGAGAACAAAGAAAGAGGAAAACAGAGGAAGAGGAGTATGCATTGGGACACTGGCAGACATAATGGTGATGAACGCTGGTTGGAAGGCCCCCCAATTAGACTCTAGAATCGACACTGACGACAGGTCAAACATAAACCAGTTTGAATTCCAGTCCTGCCAGTTTTGCCATTGTCCTTTCTGATGCAAGTGGAAGCAAGGGAAAGACTTGTGATATCATTCTGCACAGAGGAAACACACAGGCTTCACAGACAATATATTATAAAATGTTGTTTATCCTTCAGCTGCCTGACGTCACATTGCCATGTTGTGTAATGTGTTTCCCTCTTCTAGGACTGAACATCGAGTTAGTGAGAGATTAGAGCACAAACATGGAAAACAGCCCGAACCAAATGAAGACTGATGAAACTCTCAGGAAATGCCAAAGATGATAATGAAATGATTCTTTTTCATTTTCAGCGCTCAAGTTGTCTGGGAATATCTGACTGTTGACATTTTGTGTTGCTTTAAAATGTCAAACAGAAATACTTTTTTTCCCCCTGTAAATGCAGAACTTCACAATACTGTCATCTAGTGGAGAGATTCACTCAGCCTGATATTGTAAGCGTTTAGGCCATGCACTTCAGTAAATCCTCTTAATGAGTTCAATCAAGCTGAATTAGGGAGAAGGAAATTGTGTTTTTCCCTTTGTAAAACAAAAAAAAGCAGATGAAGGACCCACTTAAATTGTGACAGAGACTACATCCTACTTTGAGAGAACTAGACAGAAATTGTGAAGAAACGCTCCATCAAGCAGCAAAAGAAGATTTTGGGTCGGCAACTGAACATTTATCGATCGCTGTTGGGCTTCCAATGGAAAGGTTGACGTCATACCCAAAACAGCACATGTCACTCCTCTGTCATTATCCCTCTACTGGGTCCCAGTTACTCCTCCCATCAAGTCAAAACTCTGCATGCTGCTCACTCACCAAATAGCTACAAATACAGCTCGTCCTTACCTGAACTCCTTCATCAGGTGTGCACTCCCTCCCACCCACTGCGCTCTGCCAAAGGAAGGCACCGGGACCAACCTTCACAGCAGGGCCCTAAGTGGTGAGCTAGACTCTTGTCCTCTGTCGCCCCTCAGTGGTGGAATGAAATGCCAACCTTCATTCAATCTGCATGAGTCCCTTTCCAACATCAAGAAAAGACCCAGCGCTTTCATGAAAGCCTACAATGATGATAATCATGACGATGATGATGAAGATATTGATGATGAAGCTCTTCATGATGTTGATGATAAAAAACAACAACAAAAAACTCTTCGATACACACTGTGCTCCACCTGTAGGCACCTGTTTCCTTGCTTTTGTTGTACTTCCTCTCAAATGTACATCGCTTTGGACCAAAGCATCTGCTAAATTCAATTGTAGAACTGTAGAATTGTAGAATTGTCATGAGCATCTCGAGAAATTACAAATCTTACAGGCATGCATACTAGCAGATCAACTAAGAAGAAAACTCTACCATCACTCACGGGAAATGCTTGTGTGTGTAAATGCTTATGCACAACATGATCACCAGCCCTGTCTTATTTTAAATGCCTGCTCTTTGCAAATAAATAAATAAATGTGTAAGTTCAACAATGAGTACAAATAGCAGCAAAAGTTCAGGGGTTTCTGAGGGATGTTGAACATTGTGTTCTGCATGTGATTTTCAGATTGTAATGAGGAAAAGCCAGTTTAAAGTTTTACTATGGACTCAGTCCGTGTTAATCATGAGCTAACTCTTTTTTAAATATTTTATGCCTGAACACTGCCCTCTCCTGGCCTCCTGCCTGCTGTGTCTCTTTTCACCTCTTTGTGGGGACACATCCACTCTTTGAGCCTCTCCTGACTCCACCAGCATGACACTTTACTTTATTACAACAGACCCTGATGCCAAACGACATGAGGAGAGTGAACCTTGGGTTGAACACACAGTGTGTCCTCAGACCTGTCACTGTGTAGTCTCATTGTTTGCTCTCAATAACTCCCTGCAGGGTCAGCTACACAGAGATGCAACTCATCAAAACAACACAACATAACCTGAAGTTTACCTTTTTTTCTTTCTTTCTAGAAAAAGCACAATTTAGAAACATAATGATGAGAAATAAAGCAGAAAATGTAATCTGACGGATCTTAATCTGCAATGTAAAGGACTCCTATATGAGACATTTCATGAGACATTTCAAGGAGTAAGAGCAGAAACAAAAGGCGTCTGCATCATATGAATACCTTCAAAGATAACTGTGCTCTATGGGAATTTGGCACCTTTTTTTCGAGACAGATTTTAAGCCTTTACATTGACATATTATCCCCCTCATTTCTAAAATAATAAAATGGAAAGCCTTCAGGCTGCTGGATGCTGCCTGTGAGTCTGAAACAACAGTGTGCTTGATGTTTCTCATTGTGTGTGTTTGTATTTCACATTAAGCTGTTTCATTTCCTCGCTCCTCTCATCCCTCCTTTGTTCATGTGAAATCCTGACTCCCACAATCCCTCTCTCTCTCTCTCTCTCTCTCTCTCTCTCTCTCTCTCTTCATTAGGGATCTGAAGCTCTGATCAGGTGATGCTTTCAAAGTTCCACATAGAGTTATTCCACCTCTCACAGTTTTGTTTTTGTTCAGTTCGAGTGAGCGCTCCTGCCAGCTTGAACCTCTTCTAGAAACACGATTACCCTAAATCAATATACCAGGAGTGAGTCAAATAAACTCTCTTTGGCTAAACCAAACCAAACTTCTCAGACACGGGGCGCTGCATGGTCTAGCTGTTGCGTTGCGCTCCCGATCTACAGAGGCTATAGTCCATATGCCTCGGCCCTTTGCTGCATGTCATTCCCCACTCTCCCCACCCAACATTTCCTGTCTCTCTTCAGATGTCCTATCCATTGAAGACAAAAATCACTCAAAAATATTTGAACTACATAAATAAATGAAAACTTCTCAGACACTGTCGGAGTTTCCTCTGTACCAAGAGATCTTTGTGCACTGGGAATGTTTGCTTCCCTGGTGGAGATCCCTGAAGTGGGTACACACAAACACAGGACACAGGACTCTCAGCTTTTCAGTTCACTCCAATGAAAGATCGCCACAGATAGATTCATGTCTTCCACATTTTCTCCCAGTAATTATCACAAAAAGGACCACAGTGTGTGACAAAATGTGATGGAAATATGGATCAGGATGGTGAAGAGAAACTATTGGTCAAAAATTAATCACAAATCAAAAAAATGATATTAACTTTCATTGGTTGAATTACTGACCTGAGGTGTTCAGGTTGATTAGCCTCTGAATGTTCATCTTCAGCTTCAACACCTTTGACTTGTTTTATGTTTGGGATTTATATCAAACTCGCATAATCATCATAAATACAACCAAATCAGCGGTGAGAAAACAAGCAGCATTTGACCATGAATCTATTCTCCTCTTTATGGACAGGAATCATTGTTGATTATTTCTGAATTCAACTCCAGAGGAGTTCATTAACTGCTGCTGATGACTGATTTTCTCTGGATTGACTACAAACAATGACAGTAGAGAGTTGCTTCTCTGTCAGAATCCTTTGTTTGCTCAGCAGTAAGAGGCTTTCTTTTCCTCTTTAATCTTCAATCCATTTCTTTAATAAAACAGAGCAATGGTTTTGGTGTGGTTAGAGGATCTATATGAGCTATTTCTGCACATCTGTTTGGTTTCACAAAAATGTAAAAGCAGCAGTCTGCTTTCAGGAGGGCAGCACCAACCCAGACACTTCACAGCATCTGACTTTCGGTATTATCTGTACTGGTGTCAGTTGTTTGGTATGGATAGAGACTTTAGCAGTCCTGAGGTTGTCTGGGTCAAACTGTCCAGCTGTGTGCATATTATCCTGTCTGACTGCCTGACCTGACTGGTGAAAGATGAAGTCAGTGCTGAAACTTCCACCATCAGGGTTGTAAATGATATCCTGATGAAAGCCTCTGAATGTGAATGCAGAGTGTAAGTGCTGCCTGAGAAGTGAATGTCAGCACAGTGGCAGCTATTTTCATTCCGTGCTTGAACAAAATCACTCCTGCTATCTGCTGCAGGATTTCAATTAGCAACTTTTTTGAAGTCGAAAAAGTTACAAAGAGCTGAAAAAGAGTTCCATGTTGCATCTTAGAGCTCCTGATGGATATGGATATCTGACATAGGAACATAAAAAGCTCCTCCTGAATCACCCGGGGTTACCTTATGGGAGCAAATGTTACTTTAATCAGGGGAGGAAGCAGAGGAATTGCCAGCTTA